CCCCCCCCCTCACAAGGTAAACACAAATAATATTAAAAGCATATAGTAAGTTTTGTGATTCAGTCTCTCTAATTCTATCAATATAGAAACTTTTTGGTTTGCAACCAACCAGCTGGCTGGTGGCCATATTGGTGGTTATTACAATTATTATACTACCTTTTTACAAGGAAGGTCAAGTTCGATGATACATGAAAATAATGTATTAGTTTGTATTTGTGATCAATTTGATAGGACAGTTTTGGTCAAGAAGTTAAAAAGGTTTAAACCAAGCTAGCAAAAATAATAGAGCTCTGGAATGTTGTTTATATCTCTGCTTAATTGTTCATTCAAAATATTTCTTTGTTTCTACAGAGCTAAAAATCCCCTGGGTCATGTTCCTCATATCCAGCTACCATTGACCAGTTTAGCAAGACATACATGCCAATATCAGAACAGTTGTAGCCACTATTGTCCTGATAATTGTGAAAAAGGGATAGCAGGAGCACAATAGTTTAACTACTTTCATGGTAGAGGTACTGAAAATGGTAGAGATTCAGTCTCAAATTTTATGGAGAACAAATAAGCAAACTACTGCCTAAAACGAATAGGTATGAACTGCTATTTGAAGAATATCATTCTTTAGTATCTACACACTCAGTGATCTTGGTGATTTAAGCAATCTGATTGGTTCGCTATCTTGGACTATTCAACAATATTCACCTCCTAGCGAGTGGATAATGTTTGAGCTCGGTGTTTTTCCCATTTTTTTAGATAACTATCCTTTAAAAAATCTACAAAATCCTAGGGTTGACTTTTTAAGGCAAGAAAAGACTTGGACCCCAGTACGAATCCTGTAAAATTACAGTGTGAGTTACTGGCAACTCGTTAGACATCTCATTCAATACGGCATTTTTCAATTTACTGTAGCCGAGTTTTGTGCTCAATTGATTGTTTACAACTCCCGTGTATTCGCATAGAAGAAGCCGTTTTGTGAACTCAGCGTTTTCCAACAAGAAAATTTGGGCTCAAAAATCGAAGTTTATTTATGACAAACAAATTTCAAAGAAAATGTTTGCAGAAATTCTACGTCTCAACTAAACAGGAAAAAGAATGATACAGGAAGACGACGTCTTACTTCGAGCAACCGAGC